CTTTACATATTATATAGGCTACACTAACATCACGTTTAGGCAGTTCGTTTAACTATTATACTGTTGCTCTAGTAATGGCCAGAGGATATCACAATTGAGCAGGCCAATATGGAGCAATGAGCAATACACAACAAGGAGTGGTCTGGATGAAGGAAACTACTCTGGAGATGAGTCTGGTGGGAGAGTAAGCATACATATGAAGGCCGCTCCAATCATGACTGAATGCATCCACCCCCAGAGCTGAGGGGTGTGGTACAGGAGACCAAAAGGAAGGAAGTTTGGCATTCTAGTGAATGGCAAATGTTCCTAGGCAAGAATACACCCAATGAAAAACCTGAGGATGAAGGAACCACTCTGTAGGAAGGACTTGGTTGGGATGGGACAGGTGGTCAAAAACCAGATTCATAATCTAAGGAACATGACATGCCAAGATCGTTATGTTGTAATCATGAGCTCAGTACAGGAGGACGAGTGTTTGAGAAACATCCTTGTTTAGCCAAACCCTCTTTTTGATTCTACCAAACTATCACTTCGAGATTAGGCAGAAAAGGAAGCACCGATTTTCAGTGGGAAGGAAGGGTGGGAAGTGTGATGGGAGGTAAGTACCTACCAGAAATATATTTTCAAGATAGGAAAATAACAACTTCTGACACGGTACATTACCTACACTCACATGGATAGCTAGAATCCCACATTGAATAGGCAGAGGGACCAATGAGAGAGATAAAAAGAAGTATCCTTTGAAAGTGTTCAAAAAACACCCCTGAAGTGTGATCCCTGCAACACTTCTGTACCAGATATACTCTGTACCCATTGTGGAAAGAGGTGTTGCATACATGGGTGGAAAGTGGGAGAAGCACACCTGATAGGGGAGAGAAAAGCAGGTGGATTGGAATCCATACAAGAGTATACCATAATCTCAATCGCATAGAAGAACCATCTACAGACAGGAATGTGGGGGAAAGCTAAAATGGATGTGCTCCAAGGTGTAGAGTGGCTAAGGTGCGACGGACCATAAGCAGCCGGTCAACTGCAGTACAAAACCAAGCAATATTGGGAATAGAATAGGAGGGTCCACATCATCTTCAACTCAAGGTAAATAGAATGGAAGAATATACTGTGCAAACAAATCTATAAAACAGGCACAACCAACTATACATCCAGGAACCTGACATCTGAATGATGGTAGAAAGGGATGTGCAAATGTGGCAGGTCACATCAAACTCAATCAGAATGGTACCCCACTGTGCAACATCAGCCTCAGGCAGTAAAAACTCCCTGAAGTGGAAAATGAGAGGGAGAACCATTGCCCAAATCAACATTATCTTCTGGATAGGACTGCACAGAAGCCGGAGAGCAATGTCACCCTTCAGGTCCCACAGCATGGAAGTGAATCACCTCTAAAAATATATAGCAACCTCACCTTCCAGATAGAACTGCACAGAAGCTGGGTGCAACATCGACCTCCAGGACCCACTGCATGGAGGTGGAGATCATAATGCAAACTGAGTGAGGAAAAGGAACACAACTAACATGTGTGAGGATTTATGTTGATTGGTCCAGCTTGAATCCAAAACCACTCACTGGGAAACAACATCCAGGTGATGGTAGGATGATAGATCGCAATCGAAGGGGTGAACTTCAATGTGATAGATTTACTCCAAAACAACATCATCCTCCAGATAGGACTGCAAAAAGGCTGAAGTGTAATTGCAACCTCTGGGTCACACTGCACGGAAGTGAATTGCATCTAGAAAATATAAGCAACCACACCTCTGGATAAAACTGCACAGAAGATGGGCAAAACATTAATCTGTGGGATCTACCACACAGAGGGTGAAGCACATGATTGGGGGATCAAACATCATCTATACCAACAGAACACCATCACCCTACTATCAACTGAATGGAAGCAAATGGATTCAGGAAGACTCCTCCATGGTTCACCACCCCATTGGCTCGGAACTGGAAAGTGGCAAGGACTCCTACACTCCACTACAAGAAAAGGGGAGGGGGACAAAAATGCAGTGGAAAGTCTGGAGAAAGGAAACCCCATAGATAGTACAACAGATGACCATGAAAAGCAGACCACCCCTGAAATATTCAATCAAAGGGATGGCAAGCTATCCCCTTCTGCTTTACCTGTGTAAGCCCATGGGTCAGTATGGTCCAGAATGGGCATATTTATGAAGCAAATATATTGTGAGGA